CTACATTTTAAATTAACGTTTTAGTATCCAAAATCGATCCTAATTTTAGGTTCAATTTTCGGATTCCGAACCTAAATAGGACCAGCTGAACCGGACATTTCTAAAAAATCGTAGAGTATGGCTTTAAGGCTTCCACTTCGTTTCCCTCAGCTCCGGCCAATTATTTTTTTTTCATCCGTATTTTTTTAATTTTTCGTTTGTAAAGTTAACTTTGAACATAAAGAACCCTTTTACGTCGAACTTACTCTATAACGAATTGTTTTTTTTTTTTTAAAAAAAAAAAAATTATTAAGTTCAGTATAAAGCTCAGTAAGAAACTTTGAAAATCCCTTACTGTAAGAACTGCCAGTTCGTTATGAAGATGACTTTTATAGATATTTATACAAGAGAAAAACAATAACATTAAACTTTATGTAGATAGCATAGGTAAAATGATTAATGGCTTTAAATTTTTAAAAGATGCAATATTGTAAGTATAGCTTTTCCTAAACGTGAATACTTTTTTACTGGCTTCTTTTTGCGGAAGTTTATTGCTATTTATGCTTTGGAAATATACTTTGAAATCCATATTTTATAAAAATTTGTCTTATTCAATATTTGCCATGAACTAATAACTGGTTCTGTTTGAAAAATAAGATAAAAAAAAAATAAAAAATTGGGAAAATTTCTCTTCAAAAAAATCAGAAGTTCAATAAAAAAAAAAACCTTGAAAACTTTTCGAAAGGTTTTGAGTCAGAAAGTCATGTGATTTCTACCTCAATTATTATTAGTTATGCTGGTGCTTTAACATATGTAATGTTCTGCACGATCCGGGTTTGTGCAAAACCGGGTTCGAACTGAAAAATCGAATCGATCTAAATATATGTCACCTCTCACAATATTAACCCTTAGCTATTGTATAGTGAATATGTAATAGTTATATCCTGGGCAGTTAGGTATAAACGGAGATGAAATTTCCGCTTATACGCATAGTGCCCAGGGTATAACTGATTTATGCCCTGCGAACTTGATATAGTGACCAAGGTATAATAATATTTATAACAAGATGACTTATAGCTGTTTTCATAAATTCTGGGTCAGCTGAAAAATTTCTGATGATCGTATAGATAAGTTACCAATTGGAATCAATAGGCTGCCAACGTTCAGACAATTTTCCAGTGTCTCGGAACTTATAAGAATAGTTCTATATTAATATGCTATATCGCAACTCCTTGTAGATTATTTTAAATATGGTGATTAATAAAGGGTCTTTGCACATGCGATAGCACAGACCGGGGTAAAATCGTCACCCAAATAAGTTTCGACAATCACGTGACAAATATATCGAGCACCAAAAGTCATTTAACTTGAACGAACAAAAAATTTATAGACTAATAAATAATAACGATAAGCAATAAATTAACCATTTTATTATTTCAAATAAACTCAATAAACGTAATATTTATTAGTCAGAAAGTATTATTTATTACGATTTTCCTAAGTATTTGGATTGCCTTTTAAAATGATTATAATCCTCCTCCAATTTATGCAATGGCTCAAAATCTTTATTATCGTTCCATTTGTTACTATTTGGATTAATCATGTTTTCTTCAATAATTTTTTTGTTGCGTTCTGGATTCAGAATTATAAAACTTTTTGCTCAAATAAATAATCAGAGTTATAGTTCCGGAAGAGCATTCAAAATAGATTTTCTGGTGTAATTGCATTTGCCTAATTAGATTTTATAATTTTTTTCTTTTTCATTTATCATTGTGTTATTGGATTTTATGTCTTTAAAAGATTGCAACGATCGTTTTACATTTTGAAGAATCGAAGAAAACAAAATCAATTAATACTTTATTAAATATTATTATCATGATCCTAATGATGAATTGACAATACCACATGGGTCCTTTCACATCAAATCGGGGCTTAGAGACGATTTTTTGATTTGTAAATATCAATGATTAATCAAATTTTGATTGTTGTGATAAATATAGATATTTATATATAAAATAGTTTAGTACGTATACACATACATTATACGGATATGTATTATTTGATATAATTTAGTAATAGCGATAGCGATAGTGATAGCCGATTTAAAACTAAAATTAGAGCAGAAAATCAGCATATGTAAAATTACTGCGTATAGAATTGTACCAGATTATAGTATGTCAATATACGCTAAAATTTCTACTATGAATAACTCACGCACTTGTGAATACAATCCAATAAAAATCTCAATTTCAGTTAGAACATCTCTAAACCCCAATTTGCTGTGAAAGGACCCACATGATTTTCGAAATTTTTTTGGGGTGGCGATTTTACCCCGGTCCATAATACCGACAAAGTTAGCCGGCACTAGCTATAATGTTGGCCAATTTAGTCGGTGTTACGTTCTTTCGATAATTTGTTGTTCGGGATTTTGACCCAAAACCGTAATACAGTACATGTTTATTACTGCTGTACTGGTCAAATTTAATCATTCAAAAGCGTACTCGTTGCCATATAATTGAAATAAACCTTGGAAAGCTTGCCAGCTCGAATATTTTAGTGTTTTCTGTAGATTGAACTCTCGAAGAATTTTGTGTTGAAGAACTTTCAATATATTAATCTAACTTATTTTTAAATGAATCTGCTAAAATTTCTGCGTAAGCTAAATAAATTGAGTATACGTTCTTGATGTACAGGTTTAGTTCCATTAGTAAATGGTTTCATAAACGTTAAATCCATCTTGTTGACATAGTAATAAAAACTATTATTGCTTTAATGAGAGATAAGTGATACTGGGGATCATGGTTTATAAAGATTTGTGCGCACAAAGATTTCAATAAATAACTCTGGATATAATTTTTTTGCCCTTTTTATGACTAATAAATTTGTTTATTACTAAATACATGCGTAAGACTGTCTATGAGATCCGTCCTTTATAATAAAAAAAGAGACAACATTATGAAGTTATCCTATCAAAATTATGCTTTACATATCGAACATGCCGAAATCAAAAATTATCAAATTCGGCCAAATGATTGTCGTTTAAATTTTTATCGTTGTCTCAATAACAACTGCAGGTTCTCCGACCAATCCGAATAAAAATCTCTGATCTGGATTGAAGGTTCAATCCAGATGGTCAGATTTAGGATCGAATCACGAAACCTCGCCTATCTTATTTTAAGTAAGTGGCTAAGAAAAAAAACCTATTATTTGATAGGTTCTCGCTTTGCAGGATTCAATTTCCGATGTCACTACTTAACGTTAATGGACAATGATTTTAATTAAAACAGAAACTAATATTAATAATTTTTGTTTATTCATTTTATTTTATTTACCGTATAGGCGCGTAATAACGCACGTGGGGGTTATTTCGAAATTCCATTTTTTTGAAAATCGCATATTTGACTCAAAATAATGCCCATGCGCGTTCCGAAATAACGCGCCCCACATATATAGTCTCAGATAAGCTTTTAGTAGTTGTACCTTTTTTCTTCAAAATTAGGATAATTATTCGAATTATCGCGCATGCGCGTTCCGAAATAACGCGCAGAGTCTGCACAGATGCGTGTTATTACGCGCCTATACGGTATTTTTATTTTTGAAAATATTACTTATTGAAATTTACAGAAACTTAAATAACTTAGTACGCAGTAAGTAATTACATAGTAACGACGTAGTAATTACATAATTACTATTAAATTTAATCGAACCTAGTTACTATTCAGTTACTGCGCATTAAGGGATTCAAAAGTTTCTGTATAGACATGCGCGAAATAACGTCCAGAAGTTAATTTTGAATTACGATCTGAATTATATAATTCTCGAAATAACATGTATGCGAACATGGAATAAAAAGAAAAATTAACCACTTCACAAACCTTTTACAAAATATGCTTATTGAAATATTACATAAAGTGTAGTTTTAACTTTAAACAATCAATGCTGAATATGTATTCTTTCAAAGGAATTATAAATGTACTAGCAAAAAAATTTAATAAAGGAATTCCAATGTGGCGGGTTGACAAACTCTACTTGTTATATTCCTAATCAAAACGAAATTATTGATTTTTCTTTGTTCACTAGAATCCAAATTCGAAAGTCCAAATATATTAGTAGATATTAATGAATTTACAGTGCAAAAGAATTAATTATACCTTCGTTCAATTTTGATCATTTCTAAACATTTGATAACAGAACAACATCCAATTCCAAATCCATGTCCTTGACTAAAAGAAAATTGACCGGTTATTATGTATCCGATTATATCATTTGCACATGGAATCTCCTATAAAATAGTATATATACATCGCAAAGCTTAAAACAAGGCAAACACAGATCCTCAAACCAATAAAAGTGTGTATACCTTATCATCTATTTTGTCGTCTAAATATTCCTTATAATCATCACTTTTTCTTATTTTTCTCTCCCATTTTTGATAAGCATTTTTATTTCCAACTTTATAAATAATAGCGTTCCATTTTGGACACCCTCTAGCCAATAAATTTATTCTAACATTTACTAATGCTTTTTCCAAACTAAAACAACCACTAACTTCTGGCAGTAAGGAAATTCCACGTTTCGCAAACGAATCCTTAATTTGTACCTGTAATTCTACCAAAAGCTCTTCAACACTATCGGGATGTGTAGATAAACAATATTTTTGAAGAAGTTTTATATTTTTTGTACCTCGAAGTAACCATAGTTTCTGTTCGGCAACTAGTTTATTATATTGTGTGTTTGACAACGGTTTATCATCGGTCATTTTTTCTTCATCCATCTTGTCAATATCTCCTTCAATAATTTCTTTTGTCTCTTTTATATCATCTTTTTCCTTATCTACATCTCCACTAACAATATTACTGTCATCTTTCGTTGGCTCTATCCCCATCAATGCCTCAAATCCAGGTTCAAAAGGACTATTCACTTGTAACTTTTTATAATTTACTTTTTTAGCTGGCGGTTTCTTTAAATATTCTTGTTCATGCTTCTCTTTTTGTTGTTTTGAATAAAGATTATATGATCTCGTACTTGGAAAGTCGTAAGGAAAACATTGCATGCCAGATTCAAAATGGTTGGAGTGCCGTTCTCTTAATCCTGAGTTTTCAAATTAAGGTCATTAAACCAGATATATTACCGTTAATAAAACTCAAATGATGAGATGGTTTAAAGTAGCAATACATAACAGAAAAGAAAAACACACCACCAACCCAAGCACCTGCAAACACAAAACTTTTCCAAAAATCCATTCCCCACCCGCTTGGCATAATCAGATTCCATCCACAATTGTATTCTGATGATGCTACATTATTTTTCAGATCTCTCTTCGAGTCAACGTCGCTATCCGATTTATTAAACGTGGTAATGAGACCATCTCGTTGAATTAATAGTATTGGAATCAAAGAATCTTTAGGCGTTGGAATAAGTTTTTGACCTGGAACAAGTAACTTTGAAATAATATATGACGTTAAAAATTTATACACACGATATGAGTGCCATTAAGGGAAAACCTACAAGTCGTACATTGAATATTAACTTTTAATAAAAATATCTTAAACATTATTTGAATCGTCTCATTAAGATGATTCAAATGATATTAAAATTATAGGTATTAAATTGCCTGATTTTAAGATATTTTTATTAAAGTAAATATACAAAAAGTACGACTTGTAGGTTTTCCCTTGGCGGCACTCATATAAACAATTTAATTACACATATATATACTCTGCTTCTTCGCTTATTTAATTCACCATCCCTAATTTTATTCGTTTTCAAATGATTTCTACATTTCTCATCCCATATATCACAATTTGCAACATTATTAGGCCAATTTAGTAGTAATTTTTGTAACGCAGCTGATGATGATGGAGAAATTTGAGAAGTGCGTGGTGGAACTTTTTTTGGAAAACTGGTCGAAACAAAATAGATCTTTAAAAATATTCTTATTAAAGTGGATTTACATCACAAAAGAATGTACAAACCGCAATCGTGGATCAAA